TAATGTGACCAATTACTTCAAAGCCCTATACATATATATATATATATATATATATATATATATATATATATATATAAAGAAAAAATATACTTTTGGTCCTCAATATAGATTTTAGTCCCTTAATTTTTTTAAACTTATAAAATCATATAATTTTAATCCTCCATGAAAAATTTAAATACACTTCTACTAAACATATAGATTAAAAGTATTCAAAAATAATAATAACATATAAAAATAATTTAAAATAGGTTAAGATATTTTTTTTAATATCTATAATTTCACTTACTTAACATTTTAATCTTTATAGTTTAAAGTAAACATTTTAACCCTTATATTTATCTTCATTAATCCTTTTTAATTCCTATAGTTTAGGATATATATTTGTTTAGTATTTGTACTTATCTTTATTAATCTTTTCTAGTCCTTGTTAATTTTTTTTTTTGTAATATCATCTCTTTTATGTTAACATAATAAAGGTCTTTAATTTTTTGAGAGTAAAAAAATGTTTCAACAATGAATGTCATATATAAGAATAAAAAAGAAATACGAAACATCAAGAAATTTACTTTAACATAAATTCAACAAAATAATTTCGTTACAGTAACACAATTATCACATCAACACAAAAAAATTAAAAAGAAATTAATGATAAAGACTAAAATAATTTAAAAAAAAAAAACTACAAGCATTAAAAAGCTATAGAACTAAAAATGATTAAAAAAATAAAATTTAAAAATTTAAAAAATCTATTTTAAATTATGAAGATTGAAAGGTAAAATAAATTAAAACATAAGGGCTAAAATTCATTTTAACCTTTAAAATATTTCAAAAAGGTCAACATTTTATCTTACATCTATGGCCTATAACAAGTTTGCTACTTCAACAATCACAACTACATTTTCCACCACATGCCATAAAAAACCTAGGACAGTTCATGGTCAGGTTGATTCACGTTTAGATAAAAATTCAATCCAAAGTAATTAAATTTAATCCAAAGTAATTAAATTTAATAAATTTAAATTATTTGGATTTCTTATTTTTTTCTTAACAAAATCAATTAAATTTAATTAATTTAGATTGGTTAGATTTCTTAGTAATTTTGCTTAGTTCAATTAGAATCAATATGGTGTTAATTGAGTTAGTTCAATTCCAGACATCCGATACCCAATGAATTTTTTTAAAAATTTTAAATATTTCTTTTTCAAAGTAAATAGATTTTTAGACATTAACATATATTATCAAAAATCAATTAAGATTTGCAATATAACTCTTGGTAGTTTCTTTTCTAATATATTTAAAAAATTTAAATGCATTACAATGTGTAAAAATAACATTCAATGTGTTACAATATAATTTTCTTGATTTCTTTAATGAAAAATCTATATATTAAAACACAAATATATTTAAAATAACATATATATATATATATATATATATATATATATTAATTGTTAACAAAATAAAAAATAAAAATAATAATATATAAATTAATTAATTTAATTAAGATTTATTCAAACTTTAAATATGTAAATCCAATATTCAAACCGATTAACATCAAATTTAATTTATTTGATTCAAGTTAAAAAAAAAAAATTCAAACCAATTTAATTAGTTCAATTTGAATTATCAAATTGACCACATGAACCCAACCATTAAAACATATTTTTTCTTGTAACAAAATTTCAAGAATAGGGTCATACCATATTGCATTTTCAGGCAGTTACCCAATAATTTGACAGTCAAAAACCATGTGGATTTTTCATTCCAGAATCATAATTCACAAAAGATGCTTCATCAAGCTGCAAATTACGCTATCAACAGCTTAAACTTGCATAATTCGAGTTTTTGTATATATCTTTTAACTCGTGACACTCCAGATATAGGGCGAATAAATTACCAAGTATTGCAATAAAAATCACACCAACTTAAAATGCAAAATACTAGCCAAATCCAACGGTATTCAAATCAAAGTAGCTGATGGTACAAAACAAACTATACCACAAGCACGTCTGCGTAGTAGTTATCCAATTGTATAGCGAAATCTCACAATATATACATCCCACAAGCCACAACATACATTAGTACTATGCAAATGAATTTACATTTATTTTGACGGTAATTTTCAAACACCACCCTTTCATATCTTCCAAATACACCCTTTGAAGAATAAAACCCTAACAGTCTCTTAGAATACTCGAAATAGGACTTGAATTTTTCTCGATACATTCCCTTACGTCCAACACTATTAGACTTGATACATAATCGGTAAGTAACATTTTCTAATAATATAGGATAGATGATCCTTTTTAAAAATCTATTTAAAAATCTAAGATAGTTCTGAAGCATGAGACAGCACAGTTAATTTATATTTGCTGTTAGTGTAAACACTTGCACACATGACACACACTCTTTCAATCATCCTATTCAGTAATATGATATGATAATATGATAAATCCTAGTTAGACATTTGCAAAAAAATATTTTATAAATTAAATGCAGTAGAGAGCAACCACCATACCAAATTCCCATGAAATTGGATTTTTTTCAAAAACATAAGAAAAGGAGACAAAAAATAAAAAGCAATGAATAAAAACTACCATCACAGTTTCACATTAATAGCCAAAAACAAAAATAAAAATAAGGTTAACGATCCCTGTGTGTGGCCACATGACCAAAGCTACAACCTTGGCATATCGCTAAGAACATTCTAGAAAAAAGCAAAACAAAAATACGGAGTCGCAGGTTCACATTGACCTTAAAATCCGAGCTTGGTGCGGCGCCAGTGCCTACGCTTAGCATTGTACCTGACCAAACACAAAACCAGAAAGAGCGAGTGAAAACTCCAAAAACGCAGCGTTTTTGAGAAGCTCGTAAACCGATTTAACACTCAATGGTACCTGATGGTGTTGTCGGTCCTCATGCGGATCCAGTAAGGGATGGGCCTGTTCTGCCTCATCTTCTTCGCGAGCTTCTTCTTGATCATGAAGGTCTTGTGAGAAGGCTACACAAAAAAAAAAAAGTTTTAAAATGCCACGTGTCAGAATGCGATTAGCAAAGCAATGCAAGAGAAGCTAACGAGTGGAGACTCTCTCGTACCATTTTCGCTTCCGATTGTGGAACACGCCGCGCCGCAGAGAAGGTTCACGTTTCAACAGCTTCTCGATGAAACCCTGGTTGAATTGAAACAACAAAACTTTTAAAGAGACACTGTCGTTTCATTATTGGACCCGCTTCTGTCTGTATTTGTTTTTGCTCGTGGCCCATCAGACATGGGCTATATTAGGCCCATTGTTAGTACCGGAAATAAATAAATGGTTAAAATACTTTTAGTCGTATATTTTTATATATTTTATTTTTAATTTTTATATTTTTAAAATAAATTTTATTAGTTTTTATATTTATTTTTTAATTATTTTTAATCTCTATAATTTAAGATAATTCATATACTTATAATTTTTAATTATATTAATTTTTATTGTTATTTTTTTTTAACTGTGAGTTCTATGTTAACGAAATAAAATTTTTCAATTGTGTAAAGAAAAAAAAAAAAAATTATTTTAATAATGAGTATCACATGTGTGAATATAAAAGAGAATAAAATAAATTTGACAATAGACTCGCAAAGTTGAGTTAATACTTCTATCACCTCAATACAATAGAGATAATGTAAGTTTTATATACATATTCTCTATTTTAATTTTTTAATAGATATACTTCTCTTTATAATCTTTTTAAAAGGCTTAAATATTTTTTGGTCTTTCAAATTTAGTGTAAATTTGTTTTTTCTCTCTTAAATTTAAAATTATTGTTTTAATTCCTTTAATTTTTAAAAATATTATTTTAGTCCCTTAAATCACCAATAAAAATCTGAAAGTGATAGATTGAGAAAGTTTTGTTGTATTAGTCAAATTTAATGTGATGTTTTCACTAACAAAGACACTAGTATATAGATTTTATGGATAATATTTGACAGATTTTCTAACAAAATTTGAGTATAAGAACTAAAATAAGATTTTTTGAAATTATAAGAACTAAAAAGATTGATTTTAACATTTAAGGGACTAAAAACAAATTTACCTTAAATCAAACATATTTAAGCCTTTTTTAAAAAAATTCTTAAACATTATTTTAATTTACTTCTCTTTTAAACTATCTTCTTCATTAACCCGTCTTTTTTGCATTCATTTTATTTTTATTACTCTATGTCCCTCTCTAATCATTTTTCATACATTTCCATTCTTCTATTTTATTTTTTTTATTTCTTGATTTTTTTTCTTTTCAGTAAAACACTCATTGACTCATCTTTATTAATTTTAAACCTTAATTCTTTTACCTCATGTTCAATGTTGGATAGAAGATTGTGAATTTTTTTAAAAACATGGTTTCTAAAAGTATGATCTGTTGATTTTATAGTGAATTATTGATTATAAATAATATGTTTTTATCACTACAATTATGAAATTGTGCTTTTAGGTTTTTAAAATATACTTCCAAAAACGACTTTTCAAAAGAGTAAAAATATTTCTTTTGTAGAGAGTTGTTTTTATAAGTATATTTTTTATCTTCTAGTTTAAGAGTCAATCTAAAAACATTCATGATAAAAAAGTATTTATAGATATATAAAGAAAAAAATAATAAGGATGCTTATTATTTATTTATTAATGTAGATGTATTATAAAAAAATTAAATACTAACCACAAAATATATGTTTTATTGATGAAAAAATGGGTTTAATATAGATTTTTCTTATTATCGGTAAAGTGAAAGGATTGTTCTTCATGACTTTTACACTGGGCATGGAATGGTTCACGTTGGCTGTGAGAGCTCTAGGGGGTTCCTTGGTGCATTTTTGTTGGAAGTGAAAGTGATCATGCTAGGTGAGTTCCTTCTAGAGAACAACGTGTGCTCTCTGCCTAGATTGTATCGAGCATAGGGTACCCCATGCTAGGCATCACCTTACTTATGCTTAATTGTTGGTTTACTTATATGTTGTTGTATTTTGGTATGCTTAATCATGTTGGATGATCTATGTTATTTAACTAAGTATTATATACTAATGTATGATTAGATTTTATTGAATTGATGGTGATTATAATCTTATGGTTACCTTGGTGATTGTTTCTTGAAATATATGATGAGTATGATGTGTTATGTGTGGACCATGTGATGGTCATGCGATGTGAAGTCTAAGCCAAGGCTTAACTGGAATAAAGTCTGGGCATGATTGTCTAGCCGTGATATGACTTATTTGAAGTTAGCGGAAAAACACATAGAAGGGGGGTTGAATATGTGTGTGTGTGTGTACGAAGGAATTTTGAAAATGTTTTCGCAAGATTAATGTTCTTCGTCCAATGCACTTTTAGACGACAGACTGTTATGCAGAATTTGTTTAACATAAGGTCAATGCGTCTGAAGGGTTTATCGTCTGCTAAGGAAAATGTTTCATAATGATAATTATTAAAGTTCTTACATTTTCCTTTTCAAGATAGTTTCGTTTTAGAGACAAGCAGTAGATAAAGCTTTTCAGTGTAATATATCTATTAAACGTAATTGCATCTTCGTCTGAAAAATGATTTTAACGATATGTAAATATTGGACGAAGACTTTCACAAAGATTTACTTAATACAAATGATTTGTTTCTAGTTAAACAAGAAAAGTAATGCAATCATTTTATACTGGTTCGCTCAACTGAGCTACGTCCAGTCTCCTTTAATTGAAGGGTTCCACTAGATATCAAAATGAAGAACATTGAGCATTATTGTCCACTCCTAGACCTGAGTATTCTCGACCACTCCTGGTCTTGAGTATTCTCGACCACTCATGGCCCGCCAGCTTCACTCACCAGCGCTAGTATTCTTAAACCACTTCTGGTTCTCCAAGTATTCTCGACCACTCCTGGCCCGCCAGCTTCACTCACCAGGGCTAGTATTCTTAAACCACTTCTGGTTCTCCAAGTATTCTCGACCACTCATGGCCCG